GCTCTTTTGATATTCATAAACTTATATGCAAGTCTATAATAAAACTATTAAATTATTATATTAGTTCTAGTTACAAGTCCAAGTTAATATAGCCATTACAAAATTTAAGACCAATATCTGCGTTTCAGAATCAATTTCAACAAGTAACTAGTAACAACTTAAGAAGCATAGTAATATCCAGACAACTAAAGACTTGCTTAGACAAGTCTTATTGGTCAAAAAAAAAAAAAAAAAAAAAAAAAAAAAAAAAAAAAAAAAAAAAAAAAAAAAAGGAACATTAAGAACACGAAAGCATGTTTCCGTCCAAGAGGAATTTTCATCAAGACAAGAATGGCAACCTCCTAAGTGACGATGCAGACATTTTAGAGAAATGGGCAGATCATTTTCAGTAGATCTTCAAGATGGTGATGTTCAAGAGCTAGAAGAGCTGGAAAATGAGAGATCATCGATCAGTTTTCATGCACTAAGTGAAGTGCAGGACTTGGATGAGATAGAGATTTCTCCAGAAACGGAAGAGATTATTGAAATCATTTCCCAGCTTAAAAACAATAAAGCAACAGTACTGGATGAAATCCAAAATGAAATGATTAAAAATGCAAGAGAAATGTGGAGTGACATTTATAATATAATTTTTAATGTACAGAGATTAAATGCCTGGAGAATGTGTTGGGGTTCTGTCTAATGACAAACGTCCAAGACAACTTAGCCTATAGCATGCGCAAGCTGGTGCAACCTCTTTGGAACGAGAGATCGATTCTAGCCGCCTGTTGTTTTGAGTGCTAGGCTAGCACAATTGTTTAACAGGCTACATTTTTTTTTTTGGTTCACTAGTTAATGAATATTAAGCATCATTATTAGTGGCCTGCATGCAGTGTAGTGAGCGCTCACAGATTACAATAGTTTTTATTTACGAGTTTATATTCAGTTAGTTATTGTAAAGCATTTTGTTAGTAGTGTACAAATTTTAGTTGATTTCTTGCTTTCTTATTTGTTTCTATATTATTGCATGTGCATTCAGAGGTATGTTTTTATTTTCTAATTTTGTTTTTACCAGACTATTTTTTATTAAAGATTTGTTTTGTTTTGTAAGCAGTTTTTTATTGAACGAACCTGTAGAATCCTTAAAGTAGTGACCCCGATATTTATTTTTTCAATTAGAGTATTCTAATCAATATTTAATATTTTCAACTGTTTTATTATTTCAAAATAAATTTAATTTCACTCGCGCTCAGCTTTCTTATTTTGTTTTTTCAGTATTACACTAATTTTATAATGGCCTAGCAGGATAATTTGGAAACCATACAGGATAAGCTGCAGGCAGAAGAGCAGCAATCTTCTCCTAAAGTTGTTGAACCATCACTAGAAGCCAGATGTAGTATTTTAATTATGTTCTACTTTGTTATTCTAAAGGGACTTTGTCCCAGAATAAAGTTATTTTCTATTTCTATTTCTATTTCTAGAAGCCTTTACATCTTCCTGTAAAATTCCCCCCTTTTGGAAAAATGATCCAGAACTATGGTTTTGTGCTGTGGAACAAGTTTTTAAAAGAGGGAACATTTCCAACTCTCTGACTAAATTTCAGATTGTAGTGCCTAAACTCGAATTTGATATCTTAAGGCAAGCAGCTGACATAATTAAGCGTCCTCCAGTTGATTGCTATGAAGCACTTAAAGTTCGCTTCATTGACGTTTTTTCAGAGTCTGAAAATAGGCGAATAATGCAGTTGCTTGAAGGTAAGCAGCTTGGTGATGAGAAACCATCACAATTTTTACAGAATATGCATCAACTTGCTGGATCCTGTGCCTCTGAAGAAATGATGCGGTCACTTTGGCTAAGATAGCTACTCGCCAATACACAAGCAATACTTTCTGCGACTGATAACACGTCTCTTGATAAATTAGCCACTATTGCAGACAGGATTCATGAAGTACATCGCACACCGGATATGAATGTCATCACCACTCCAATGTCAAACCCTATTCATACGTTTTCCTCTCAGCTCCAGCAACTTGAAGCTAAAATTGAGGCACTCACCAAACAAATGGCTAGACTAGAAAGGAGTGGTCGTTCCAGCCAGCGTTCATCAAGCAGGCAGCGCCACCAATCCGCCAGCAGTAAATTTTGTTTTTATCACGATCGTTTTGGGGAGCGAGCCAGAAAATTTGTGGGCTCTTGCAGTTGGCAGAGCCAACAAAAGCCAGCGGGAAACTAAATGCAGTGTTGGAGATGGCAGAATCCAGCGCTGGATCACCTCACCATGCCCGCCTTTTCATACCTGTTAAACTATCCGGATAAACTCTCTAGATTCTAGCCGCCTGTTGTTTTGAGTGCTAGCACAATTGTTTAACAGGCTACATTTTTTTTTTGGTTCATTAGTTAATGAACATTAAGTATCATTATTAGTGGTCTGCATGCAGTGTAGTGAGCGCTCACAGATTACAATAGTTTTTATTTACGAGTTTATATTCAGTTAGTTATTGTAAAGCATTTTGTTAGTAGTGTACAAATTTTAGTTGATTTCTTGCTTTCTTATTTGTTTCTATATTATTGCATGTGCATTCAGAGGTATGTTTTTATTTTCTAATTTTGTTTTTACCAGACTATTTTTTATTAAAGATTTGTTTTGTTTTGTAAGCAGTTTTTTATTGAACGAACCTGTAGAATCCTTAAAAATGTTTTGAGTCCCTGATATGTCCAATATATAAAAAAATTAAATAGAACAGAGTGCAGAAATTACAGGAGAATTTCATTAGTAAATACTTTATACAAGATATTATCAATTTCAATCAGCAAAAGAAGAAAAGTAAATTTTATTCTGGGGCATTCAGCCTCCTAAGAATAATTATAATGAAAATTTAGTGACAATTGCTGGCATACAAATTTAATGATCTTCTTGTTGTAAATTAAATTGTATTGATATTGAGTCTTCAAATTAAAATAAAGAAAGGCACAAGTTAACATTTGAATTACAGGCAGATGTATTAGAGTGTGTTTACATATAAACAATAATTAATATATAGGTATCTGTAAGATAATAGTAAAATGAGATGACAGCTCTAAAAAACATAAATATATTATTCTTACATATATTCGGATGATTGATTGCTGAGAAGATGGAACAATAAATGGTGTTTAAATGAGATTAAGGATGAAGATTTGCATACGGAATTCCAAAACAAGGTAGCATGTATGAGAAAGGATTTTTTAAAGGAAACAGTTCTATGAGAAGGAATAAACAGGTTTGTGGGCTGGGATCTCGTGATGAACGAATGACAGAGGAACAAGGAGTAAACAGATCAAGAAGGTAAGAGCGTTTTTTTTTTGTAAAGGTTTGGGAAAGGAAAATCCACTCTTTGGATTAATACAGAAATAAGAGAACTAATGAGGAGAAGAGAGGCTGGTAGAAGACACTACAGACTTACTCGACTGCCCCAACATTATACCACATTTAAATCCCTACAAAACCTCACACAAATGTTCCTATGCTGCACCCAAGCCCAATACTTTAATAACTTTTTATCCCAAGAACCCAATCCTAAATCCAAATGGACAATCCTTAAGAACCTCTCTGTTGTTAGCTTGAAAACCTGCACACAATATCCAGTCGATCCGAACAAGCTGAATTCCTTTTTAACTAACCATTTTCCATCCAAATTTTCATCTGACCGCTCATTTTTTTCCATCACCGAAACCCCCTTCGATCCTGATAAGTTTTATTTTCTAGATATCTCTCCTACTGATCTACTCTCTGCCACCCTTAAATCCAAAACGAACGATTATGGTTAGGACCAAATACCTGTTAAAATAATCACATATATAATTTCTCTCTCCAAAATTCCATTTTTCCCAAATCCTGGAAAAGAGCCATAGTTCCCACATTGAACAAAGTTCTTACTCCTTTATCAGCTTCCGACTTCAGACTTGTCTCCATTTTATCCAATCTATCCAAGCCTCTAGAAAGATTAGTCTACTCCCAGTTGAACAGCTTTCTCGAGCAAAACCTTCTACTCAATCCTTTACAATCTAGTTTATTATCCCATTATTCCACCTTGACATCCACCATAGATAAACAGAAAATCTCCATTCTAATCCTTTTTGACTTTTCCAAAGTGTTTAATTCCATCAATCACGAGATCCTCCTTTCCAAACTCTAAAGCCTACCCATATCAAATAGCGTCCTAAAATGATTCCTCTCCTTCTTATCCAATCGATCTCAGACAGTTGTAATTCCAAACAAACCTCTATCGTCTCCCCTTCAATTAACACTAGGTGTTTCTCAGGGTTCCTTGCTCTCTCGCTACCATTTTCTCTATTTATATTATTGACCTTTCTGACGCTATTCAACACTTCTATTACCACCTATATGCTGATGGTTTTCAAATTTACCAATCATTCCAACCTTCTGAGATGCCTGAGGCTACTTGAAAGCTACAAGAGTCGATTATATCAACAGATGGGCAGAAATCAATGAGTTAAAGCTGAATGCAGATAAAACTAAGGCTATTCTCATCGAGTCCATTATCTCATTAGTTCCCTTCCCTGCTTTACCTCAATAACCGCCCTGTCCATTTTTTCCTTAAGTCAAAAACCTTGGAGTAGCCTTTGACCAGAACCTCTCTTGGAATAACCATATCTCCCAGATTACCCCAAAATCCATAACTGTCCTTAAACAATTGACCACAATTCCTCCTAGGTGTTTTCCTTTTCCAAATCCTCAGAACCAAAAACCCTCCCTACATCCTGGAACTACTTACTCTACGTTCCACTATCCTCTCTCTCAATACCAGGTCTCAACCTATAGATTTATATATCTCTTCCCATAAAACTACTTCCTTCAGCAAATCCTTCATCATTCATGCAATCTCCTTTTGTAACTCTCTACCTAACTCCATACGTCAATCCTCGTCCACAAATTCCTTCAAAAACTCCTTGTTTAGTCAGTCAAAGCGACATTAAAAAACAGCAAATTAAAAAAAAAAAGAATAAACTCAGGTACAAACCTAAATCTGCTAGGTGGGCAGACAAATGATGCGCAATCTTCCTCATCCTGTCCATCTGGACAGTCTTCATGAGCATCACAACGCCATGCACTAGGGAGGCAGTGACCAGAACAGAAAATATCACCATTTGAACAAGTCTTATTACAGCCTTCCTCATCTGACCCATCCAGGCAGTCAACATCGCCATCGCAACGCCACTTCCTGAAATGTAAAAAAAGAAACAATGCATATACGAGGTGGTTAGCTTTAAAACCAGCTAATGCATTCTCTAAAATTTTAGAAGAGACACCAAAAACATAAGAATGCCTTATTTGATCTAGATAATCCTACAAGTTTGAGTATATTTTCATACTCGATGGAAATCTTTTAGGTCAATAAATACTACTTAAAAATGAATATGGATATTTCTATTTGATGCTTATTTTAACTGTTTTAATTAAAATACTCCTTCCCCCCTTTTTTTTGTTAGGGATTCTTTTATTTGCTGGTAAATATAAAAAGTATTCTTTATTTTTAATAAGTTATTAATTAAAAGATAGTCATCATGATGAACACTCATTATGTAAACCAGCAGTTGTTTAATGATAAGGTGCAATAAATTCAGAAAAGTTGCAGAGACTAGCCTGTTTAATGATGAGGTGCAATGAATTCCACTCCAACAGCTGCTATAGAGGTTATGTTTAGCATACCACCATTGCAGCTGGAGGTTGAAGCCCAAGCCTTAAGAACATTTTGTAAGCTCAAAAAAATAAGAACGGTTACAATATCTTTGTGTAGGAGGGAAATACTAAACTGCTTCAAAGGATTCAGTATGACAAACTGTTAACCATGCAATCAGAAATACAAATCTGGGATTATCTTGACACAAAATATTGTGTCAACATTGATATAAGTAAGCAGCATAAATCTAGAAACTGCATAAATTGCTATACAGATGCCTCTTTCATGGCCAATGACTCAGGAGCAGGCATCTATAGAAAAGATAAACCCAAAGACAGTTTTTCAATTCCTCTCAGCAAATATACCTCCACCTGCAGTATGCATGATGAGCTGAGTGGTAAAAGGCCAGGCAGCAAGAGGGGCACTAAACAACTATTATAACAACTCACAGATTGTTAAAGATTACAGTGCAGTTCTAAATAGCCTTGCAGAGCATAATAAGGTTACCCTTGACCGGATTCAAGGTCATTTTGGGTTTCCAGGCAATGAAAAGGACGATAAACTAGGTAGCCAGTATGGGCTCGGAGACTATTGTCATAACCCTTAAACCAGTAGGTGGAAAGTCAGGGAAATATTAGGGTGTCCCATAAGTTTTTCCGCTCCACCCTAATTATGACCTTGAGCCAATAGTTTGTAAACATAAAGGCTTATCTATTAGCCATTTATGGCATCAATTTCAGTTGTCTCACAGCTCTTTCAAAGTATGTTTCTTTAGTGACAAAGTACGTTTCTAGGGTTCTGGTTAGTGTTCAGGTCTCACAGCCATATATCAGAACTGGCTTTATCATAGCATTGTACAACCTTATTTTGAGATTTTTTAGGATTTCAATACCTTTGAAAGGGAGAAGAAAGCTCTGTTTGCTTTCTTAATTCGTCCCAGTGTTGATGTCCAGAGTGTTGTCCCACTGGGAGGCTATCTGAATCCAAGAGTTCGAATTTATTTTTCAGCTCAAGTTGGAATTTGGTTTTTATTTCAGGATTTTTCAAATGATTTACTTCATCCCTCCTTCTTTCCACTCGATCCCCTATTGTGTGGATTCGCTTCAATCTCTGACATAGTTTAATTCTAATCAGAGAGTGATCTGAATCACAGTGTGCTCCATGATAGCTTCTTACATCTTGTATTGAGCTCTGATGTCTCTTGTCTACCGGCACGTGGTCAATTTGGTTCCTTAAGGACTAACCCAGGTATACTTGTGGATATCCTTGTGCAGGAATATTGTACTGCTGACAACTAGATCTTTAGCTGTTGCCAGACTGATATATCTCACTCATTTTTCATTGCTATTTACATGAAGGCTTTGGCCTCTGATAATGGGCCTGAATTGAGGTTTGTGTCCTATCTTAGCATTAAAGTCATCATGTATGACTAATTTTATGTCATGCATATAAGCTTGGTACACAATATTTTCCAGCTGATTGTAGAAATCATCCTTCATCTCTATCTTCAGTTCGTGCACACACATTAATTATCGTGTTATTAAACCAATGACCTTTACCTCGTAATATACTAATCCATTCGTTTATTTGAGTGAAATTTATAATTGATTTCCTTGCCACTGGACTAACTATAAATCCCGTGCCAGCTGTTGTATTTTTATTGTTTCCCCCGAAGTAGAATAGTTTATGGGCGTCGATAATGGTTTCACCACCATCTGGCCACCTTACCTCTTGAATGGCTGTTACCAGTATGTTATACCTTTTTGGTTCCTTGACTATTGTTTTTGTGGCTCCTGGTCTGTATAAATTTCCAAGGTACAATGTACAGTCCGTGATTCAAAGCTGAGGTTGTTACCATATTTAGACAGCCAAATTTTTTGAGGCTTAGTTTAGGTTTCGTAATAAGCTGTTTTTTCCGGGATAGGGGTATTAGCCCTATGCCCAACCCCCCAACCTGGAAGACCAGAAACTATGGTGTAAGACGCAGGGGTCACTCACCTCCCTGTGAATCTCTGGTTGGGGACGTTACTGTCCCCATGAGGGAATTAAACCTGCGCCGTAGTGGTCGAAGAAATCGGGTAGCTCTTGTTATTTTTAAAAATTTTATATTTATTATTAATTATCTTTGTTCCCACGAACAGGATTTGAACTTATGAGATAAAAATCAAAACAAAAAGCCTCTACGCGTTGAGTGTAATTTTGCAGGCATCTTAAATCTCGACCACTGCGGCCCTTATTATTATTTTAAAATAATTATTTAATTGAGAATTATGTCCCAATTAAATAATTATGTTAAAATATAATACTCAAAGGTAGATTTAAGAAATTTTGTAAATATATATGTACATGAATACTTACATGAAAATGCAGGTCTTAGGTTTTCTACATTCAAATTCTGATCCTGGAGAGCACTTTGTAGGGCAATTCTGCTCATCTGATCCATCATCACAATGGTGTTCACCATCACACTGATGTAAGCCACTAATACATTTTTTATCTTTACACCTATTAAAACATTACTTGATTTAATACATGAACTTCTTTAAAAACATGAAAATATATGGGATAAACAACCATTAATTAAAATAATTGATAAAAGGAAATATTTTAGCCTCAAAATTGGTTTTGTACCAACTATAAGGTCCAGTCATGCTAAAATGCCATAAATGAATTCATGTCATTTGAATTTAGAATTCACAGAGATTAGGAAATTGTACTCTGTTTTTGTTTTCTTTTAAAAATAAATAAAGTCAATCTAAATATTCACTGGATTTATAGCGGTCATCTTAACAATTATCTTCAATAATTATAGTGGTTTAATGGCTCTTGGCGGGATATGGTATGTTGATACCCATAGCCCAGAAAAAAACTGAGAAATGGCCCTGGTCCTCAAGAGGATGTGATAGCAAGTCCCACTCCCATTTCCTCGTAGTGAATGCTGGTCAATGCACACCAAGGTGGACAATGGCTAACGGGAGAGGGCACAGGCGAGCTTCTGGTGCCTTAAAACTGGAACCTACGACTAGGGGAGGAAACCCTAACAGAAAACCCCAGTCCTCCAGGTTGGGGGTTGGACACAGGGCCAACTAACCTGTCCTATAAAATCCAACAAGTTTTCAAGAAACGATAAAAAGCCTCGGAAAGAAATGGATTACATGAGAAATGACATAGGCGCGGACACAAACAAATAAATTTAGCAACATGGAACATTAGGAGCTTGTTCCAGCCTGGAGCTGAAAGGGATTTAAAAAGAGAGATAGAAAAATATAGAACAGATATACTAGCACTGCGAGAAATCCGATGGAGAAACAGTACTCATGCCAAGATGAAGCACTGCACAATTATTAATAGCAGCAATAGGCAAAACATTATGGGTACAGGTTTTGCTGTAAGAAACTCTCTCCTGCACTCTGTTATCAAATACATAAAAGTGAACAAAAGAATATGTGTATTAAGGTTGAGAGGAAAGTTTTCAACATTTCCCTTATTAGCATTCATACACCTATAGAAGGTAAAGAGAATGAAAAGGAAAAGGATACATTCTATAGAATGTTAGAAAAAATGTATGATTCCTTATCTAAACATGATGACCTAAAAATAATTCTGGGAGATTTTAATGGTAAGATAGGAAAAGAAAAGATATTCTTCCCAATAATAGGCAATCGCAGCAAAAATGAGGAAACAAGCAAGAATGGAATGAGAATGGTTGATTTTGCAATGGCAATGAACCTTAGAATAAGAAGCACCTTTTTCCCCATAAACATATTCATAAGGAAACGTGGACCTCACCGGATGGCCTGACCAAAAATCTCATTGATGCCAGACACGCCAGTGATATTTTTAATGTCCGCAGTTAGGGGAGCTAACTGTGACACAGATGATCGTCAGGTCAAGATTTTATATAAACAAAAGGTGGCGCTAAGAGAAAAATGGAATATAAGAAACATTATCACTTACAATGTTGAAAAACTAAAATAGAAAGCTGTAGTTCAACAATTCCAATGAGAAATAACAGAAAGGCTGAAAGAACAAGAAATTCTAGAAAAGTGGAAAGTGAAAAGAAGAAAAGTGGAAACACCTTAAAGATGTTCTCAGAGAAGTAACAGAGGATATTGTAGGCACCACACCGAAAAAAAATAATAATGACTGGTTTGATGATGACTGCGTTAGGGCCACTGAAGAAAGAAAGAATGTCAGACAGAAAATGATCCAAAAAACACCCGAAGATTATAATATTAAAAAAATTTTGCAAAATACCATATGCAAGCAAAAGAAAAGGCTGTGGGAAACTAAAAAGCTGGAAAACTTCAGAAAGATTTTGGAGCTAAACAAACTAGAAAGTTTTATAAAAGCATGACAGAATTTCGGAATGGCTATATACCAAAGCTGGAATTCATTAAAGATAGTGAGAGGAATCTAGTGAACTATTAAACCCGGACATAGCATCATCAATCAATAAAGACAAAGTGCCCCATTATGAAGGAGACTCAGTGGCTTTGGAGGAAAAAGAAATATCATCAGACAGAGAGGAAATAATCAGAGCACTCTATAATAACAGAGCTCCTGGGATAAACAGTATTCCGAATGAGGTTACGAAATATGGTGGTGAGGCACTGGTGGAGGAGATTACAACCTTATATATGATGTCTGGATGGAAATGAAGATGCCACAGAACTGGAATATGGCAGTTTTATGTCCAATACATAAGAAGGGTTAAACTTCCAAAACTATTGAGGTATCGCCCTCCTGTACACTGTCTCTCTCTCCTGTATTATTTAATATTGCTTCGGAGCAAGTGGCTAGAGCAATAAAGACAAACAAATCTAGGAGAAACAATCTATTATAGACTTATCCAACACATGATGTATGCTGATAACGTGGTGATATCGTCAAGATCTAACATCGCACTATCAGGAGCTTTACAAGAGTTGGAAGATGCTGGGAAAAAATTGGGTCTTAAAACAAATAAGGAAAAAAACCAATATATGATATCTTCAAAAATTGAGGGACAGGAAGGACAGGACAACGTGCAACTGCTCCACCACCCTTTTAAGAAAGCTGACAGTTTCGAGTATCTTGGAGCCTTAGTGACGGGCAAAAATAACATCACTGTAGAAATTAAAGTAAGAATCACAGCAGGCAATAGATGTCTTTTTGCATTTCGGAAAACATTCCGTTTCCGAAATCTGTCATGGAAGGCAAAGCTACTGGTTTATAAGACTATCTTGAGACCAATTGTGACTGGAAAAAGAAGGTCCTTTGGCAAAGCTTTGGGCCAACATGTATAAATGGGAAATGGAAAATAAGAAATAATAGAGAACTCCAAGAACTGTATAAAGAACCAGATATAGTCACTTATATTAAATCAAGCCGTATAAGATGGCTTGTGCACATAGAAATGATGGGTGAAGATTGATACCCCAAAAAGACTATTATATGGTAAAACAGGAGGCAAAAGAAAGAGAGGAAGGCTCGGACTTAAATGGATTGATGATGTGGAGGACGATTTGCAGAAGACGATTGCACGAAATCGGACAATGAAGAAGCCAGACTGCTGATAGAGAGGATTAGAGAGGCATGGAGGCCAAGGCTCAACAAGGATTGTAAAGCCAAGAAAGTTAAAGTTAATAATTATATAAACCATAACTGAATAGACCTACTTTGATAAAAAATATTTATTAAATAAATCAATTTAATATCAGATATAAAATTTCAATTTCATCACATCATTCCACAAATAGTGAATTAGGGTCTCCTTCAGCAGATTTCGCCATCCCTCCTAATGTGTGGCTACAATCCAATAAGCACACCAAACATATTTCTTGCATCATTCATGACACAATCTTTCCTCCACAGTTTTGGCCTTCCAATGGTTCTCAATCCATAAAGTTAACCTGACATCATCTATAAAAGAATGTCCTATTTAGTCATCCTGGAAACACGACCAGACCATCTAATCCTATGATGATCAATCTCATAATGTCTAGTTCCATAAACAGGGTTTGCTTGCTTATTCTTAATGAACTATAGATTCTACATACAATTTTTCTCTTTAACACCAGGAGTCTTTGCTCACCCGACCGTGAGGTAGTCTATCTTTCAGAGCCCTAACTTTGCAGTTTCAGTAAGCTTTCAATTTAATACTCTATATTTTATAAGAAATATAATGGAACTATTAATTTTTCCAAAACCAAAATTTATTATAACACATCTCAATACTATTCACGTTTTGCTTGTTGTTTGTAATAATTTTTGTTAAGAAACTGCAAGAAAATTTTATTTTTTCAAATTGAATTAAAGTAAATGTATTATTGAAGGAAGCTAGTCGACTGTTCTACATATCATGGGTGATAAATAGTCAGGGCGCAGTCATTATACAAATTTTTATATTTTTGCCGTTTCAACCCAATCATGTGGGTCATCTTAAGAGCTGAAAATTTTAAAATACAATCAGAGATATAATATTATATGACCGATAATGGTAAATAATGAACTATAGTGATTGATAGTACATGAATCTTAACTATTATTACAATACACGATATTAAAAATGAAATATGTAAAAAGTTATACAAACTAAAAATAATATATATAATCTATTTATAAAAATTTGTAATATTTCCTCTTACTAAATGTGGTTTGAGCACTGAAGGTTTTCAAGTACTGACACATTTTGATAGGTAAGTGAAAAGGTCGGGGGAGGATTTACCAGTTGCCCTTTTTCAGATAGCAAAAGGTAGGTCACATAGTCAGAGGGGGAGGGAGGTAAATAATTTGCTGACTAAATATTTTAGATGTGTACAAGATTTGTGTTGTTTCTTATGGTTACAAAATTGTGAATATTGGCTAGTAATGAAATAAACTAACAGAAATGTTACCTCCCTCCCCCTCTGACTATGTGACCTACCTTTTGCTATCTGAAAAAGGACAACTGGTAAATCCTTCCCCGACCTTTTCACTTACCTACCAAAATGTGTTAGTAGTACTTGAAAGCCTTCGGTGCTCAAACCACGTTTATCTATCTACGTGGCGCTACAACCCTGGGTGGGTCTTGGCCTCCTCAATGAGCCGCTGCCATTCGGCCCGATTTTGTGCTGCCGTTTTCCAGCTTCTGATCCGTAGCAGGTTCCGTGCGTCCGCTGCCACTCCATCAACCCATCGAAGCCTTGGCCTACCAGGCCGTCGCATACCATGAAGGGCGGTGTCCACCACTTTTCTAGGAATTTCTTCAGCTTTCATCCTTGCGACATGACTAGCCCAACTGAGCCTCCCCACCTTCATAAACTTTACAATGTCCATATCTTCGTTAAGGTCATAAAGCTCTCGGTTCCTCCTAATCCTCCATCCATCTCCATCTCTCACTGGGCCAACTATTCGACGTAAGATTTTTCTTTCGAAAATCAGAAGATTATTTTAGTCACTTCTTGAGATGGTCCAGGATAGGGAAGTATAGGTAAGAGCCGGGTGTATAAGCGTCTTGTATATGACCAGTTTAGTGCCCCTGG